TTTTTTTTTTTTTTTTTTTTTTTTTCATCTACAGTCCACTGGTTAGCACTGTTTTTCATGGCGGTAGTGAATGAGATAAAGGTACACAGAATCATGTGTGTGTGCATGCTTAAATTCTTCTGGGAAGTATTATGTCCCTAACCCTTTGGCTTGTTTTCTTTATTTCATTTTTACTTGGTTTGTTTCATCTTAATCTTTTATGTTGGGTGACCCTATAATGCTCTTTAATTTCAGGAAAGTGGAACCAAACTTACTTAAGCTTCATAATGGATTGACACCAACAAAACAGTCTCAACTTGAGTCTCAGGTCCTTTTCAAGAAGCAACACTTAATTCTGTGAAAACATACCTTTCCCTTGTGAGGCTGGTGTTGAAGTTCCCCACCTTTTTCTAGCTGTTAGCCCTGTGGCCCACACCCTCCCTGCTGGCCTTTCCTTTAGGGAGGGAGTCCAGCCTGCCTGCCTGTCTGGTGGGGAGGGTCTGGAAAAGCAGGGAAAGCAGGTCAGAAGGGCCTGTTCACCCACTTTTTTTTTCAGAGCCCCTTTATTTTCTGTTTTTAGCAAAGAAACTGTACTTGAGAGATAAAATGGTGAGAAAAAGTTGGAGGAGGTAAAATAGTCATTGATGATGAAAAGAGGGACCAATAAGAAATCGCACAACAATGGCCTGGATGTTGCCTTTTTTCTTGAAAGTTTAGAGTAGTATTTCTTACCATCCTTTTTATATAAAAACTAATGTGAAAATTTACTGGCTAGCTGCTCTATAACAGCAGTCCTTCTGCTACACCCAAGAAGACACGCTTACTGGATGGGTGGAGGCTGGGAACATTCTTTTGTGTCAGAGAGTGCTGTGGCAGCCAGTCCTGCCTCTGGTGTGTGTGTACACTCCACCAGGGGTCGTGCACAAGACCTGTTAAGGAGAAGGTGAGCAGGGGTAGCAGCTTGTTGACATCCTCAGAGAGGTGAGATCTCAGCTTCCCCAGTTATTGCTGGCTTTCCAAAGAGCCAATTAAACAAAACAAAACATTTTTTTTATCATGGAAAAGTCAAAGCATAGAAATGTAAAATCATGTAATGCACCTTCTTGTACCTATCATCCCCTTTCAACAGTGATCAACGCATTCAGTACTGTACTAAACCTTTTTAAAGAGAATAAATTACGTTTTAAAGCACATTTCTAAGAAGCTGCGTGCATAATGAATTTTTAAAAAAGCACAAGTGTGCCATTTAAAATAGCACTTTGGGTTTAAAAGTTTTGAGTCAAAATAGATGGCTTGGTATTGGAATCAAATGTTTAAGGATGTGAGTTGGAATCCCACCCTTGCCACAGGGATTCAGATAAACCGTTTAAACTCTCTGAGCCTCATGTCCTTCCTCTCTAAAATGGAGCAGGATACCTCTTGGAATACTAAATAAATGGAAGGGATAAAGCACTGGTCTGCAGGGGCCACTGTGACAGGCCTTGCTGCTGTCACTCGTACCCTTGTGGTTTTCACCACCCCGCCAGTTCCTAGCACACAGTATGAGGGGGAGCCCAGGACACACAGCTGTGTAGGAAAAGTGCTCCCTAACTTTCTCAACTATAGTTTTACACATAGACCCCTGAGTTACATAATGGATGAAGAGGATTGTAACTTGTCCAGTGCTTATTTAATGGTATGTTTAACAGTAGTTGCTCTGAAACTCTGTTTCAACTGGACTTAATAATTAGGTATTTTAAAGATAAATCTAGAAACCATTAGACACCTAAATGAGAAGAGAGGACTTCTTTTCCATACAGTGTCCCCTCTGCCATGTCACAACTTTCTCCCTTGACACCTCTTGTGGCTTTGGCAGGGACAAGTAGAGGAAAACCTGCTGGAAAAGGTAAGCACAACTTGTCTCTGGGAGTACAGAGCACATTCCCATATATGTGGGGTGTTTCCTCCTCCTGGAAGCAAACAGCTGATGGGAAAGAGAAAGCAACCAGAACCTGCTGTGGTTACTTTTGCATGGTGTGCTGGGGGGTGGGCCGGTGGAGATGCGTTTCTGTGCCTGCAGGTGGGCTGCCACTGTGTGACTTCACATTGTGAGAGTGAGCAGTTACTGTGATGGGTGTGGACTTCAGCCAGCGGTCCTGGAATTCTGCCTGGGCAAGAAGGTCTATTCTCCAAGTTTCTTTTGAGGTATTAACATTTAACTTCTAAACAGACAAGGACCTGCCGCTGCTGGGTAGGTAAGATAGTAGCTGCTAGTACAGGAATGCTGAACACTTACTAGGTGCCCTACACTGAGTGAACTAAGTCTCAACTAAAACCTCAACTTTCCGGAACAATCCCACTGGGCGGATAGTGGTGCCAGTTTCAGTTTGCGGGGAAGAAGAGATTTACGTACATTTTTATAATTTTCCCAAGACCAAACAGGAAAAGATGATGGAATTTAAATTCTCAGCTCTGCTGGCTAGCATTTAGGGTTCCAAGGACTCCTGTTACTCTGCTTTACCTTCCATACCCAGCCAAAATCCTGTGTACCTGAGATTACACCGGGAGCTGTACTGATGATGGCTCTGTTGTGCTTTGTCACCTAGGCCTGCGGCCTGGTGGAGATACTGGCATGGAGTGCAGTGACTTGACCCTCCTCTTGTGTCGCTGGGACTCTGCCCCCGCTTTTCCACCCAGCCTGTCCTGCCGTCCACGGTGAGTACTCTGCACGAGCTCCTGGTCTTCTACCTCTTGTGCCCAAACGCAAGAAACTTAGGAGACGAGTGGGTGACCACAAAATGTTGCTGTGTTTTGAGTGCTTACTGGAGTGACAGCTCAGTACCCAGCTCTCTTAAGAGAGCTTTAACCGTGTCCCAAAAATGGGCACTTAGCTCTAGAATGAGCTGATGAGTCGGGAATGACTTTTTAAAATCCTTCCTACCTTTAATACCTGCCTTTGGAGGAAAGACAGAACAAATGCAGTACAGCGGGGCTTAACAAAGATGACTCACGATTTATTATTTAAAATCTTTTGAGAAAGAATTGTTGTCAAGGATTTGACAAATACTGATTGCTCTTCTTTAGGAACTCTCCTAATTGAAGAAGCAGAAGTCAGGAAGAATATAGAAAACTTGTGTGACTGTGGTGGTAGAAAGAGAAACCCTGAATGGGCTTGCACATGGCCGGTCACCAGATTGTCCCCGGTACAACCCTGCACCAGAAACGACAGGCAGACAGTCTGTGAGGCTTTCCCAAGGTAAGTCAGAGTGATGCTTGAGTGCTGTGAGAAAGCAGCCTGCAGAAGAACGCTGCCCAGGCAAACACTCCCCAGGACAGCCCTTCACCCTGATTGCTTGCAGGAAATCAGCTCTTGTCTGCCCTCTGAGTGTCCCGTGGCCTTTTTGCACACCTGGTCGCTGCTCCCCACCCTCCGCCAGCTGGAAGTGTGAGTGCTTGTTTGTTTAAACCTCGCTGAGCAAGGCTTGGAAAAACAAAACAACAGCATACTTGTCCAGGCAGTGAGTGTCTTCCTGCAGTCTCATCCTGGCCTTTGGCCCTGGGGCGCGATGGGTGGGGTGAGTTTCGGTGTGAGTTTGGCAAGTTTCAGCAGTAGGCTATGGGCAGGGTTTTCATCGTGGGGGAACAGACAGCCAGGGAGTCATCAGGCTCCTGCACTGCTGTCCTTGTTACAGGTCCGGCAATGCACCTGTGCCAGGCAGTGACAGAGTGTGTGACACTGTCATCTGCGTTCTCACCTGGACCCCGAGAGAGGTGCACTTAGCAGACTCACCAGGAGGAGAAGTGCCTTCCTGAGTGGACTCTCCTCCCCTCCCCTAGTTGGGGTGCCCCAGGTCCTGGCTAGAAGCAGCCTGTGAAACCCAGGGTCTGTCACTGGTGGTAAGAGACCTTATGGTCTCCTGTCTTGCGCAGGCAAACCCATGTGGTAAGAAGCAGTATCAGTAACCACACAGGGTGCTTGGTGGGGCAAGTCCTCTCTCCAGCTGCCTGTGGCAGTTCTCATTGCTCTTTAAATGGTTGGCACAGTGCAGGGTTCAGAAAGATCAGTGCTCAAGATGCCAGTGTCTGCCTCCACCCTGCAGTGTGATCAGGGCCACTGAGCATAGCTGAGCCTAAAATGCTCACCACTGTATATCCTGGCATCTGTTGTGGTTACCAACCCTGATGGGTTCAGACCTACGATCCTCCTGCCTCAGTCTCCCAGAGTTAGCCGGGATTATGGCTTGTGCCACCGCTTCTGGCTAGTACCCTCCTTCTCTTGAAGGTAAAGTTGTGCAGTAGTTCCCAACTTTGAGCATACAACAGAATCTCCTGGTGATCATGTGAAAGCAGATTACTTAGCCCTGGTCCCAGAGTCCCTGATTGGTGCAGCTGTAGGGAACATACTTGGAGAACCACTGCTAAATTTCCCAGGCTGGCATCTAACTTGGAATCTTTCTCCATCAGCCTCGGAGCAGCTGGTGTTACAGGTTTTCTCAACCAATCTCAGCTCCTAGGAACATTTTAGTCTCTAGCCTAGTACTGAACCTCAGGCTCCTTTGTCAACCCACACGCGTACTCTGGAGCAGAGGCAGTGCTAACAGAAGTAGAAACTATGCTTACCTTTGGGTGACTGCCCGAGGGGAGAGCAGGAAGTACTGATGGCCAGATCAGGTTAGGATGAATGTACGAACACTTCCTGACTTGCCTGATGGCTCATTAGCCCATGCGCTGTGGACTGCCACTGAGCAAAAACCAGGCCTTACTCACCTGTGGTCTGTGCCTGGCATTTAGTCCAAGCACCTGCAAACCTGCACTTTGCCCTTACACCTGGGTGGCTGGAAGGAATCTCCCCCTCCATGGGACCTCAGGTTGGGAAACACCCGCCCACAGGGTCCCTAACATCAACTGTGTTCTGCAGGCACACAGAAGCACTCAATGTCTTCGGGATACAGAATTCGCCTTGTTCTCCTGCTCCAAGTTTTCTTTACTGTCCTTCACTGCAGTAGCCCCCTCCTCATCCTTAAAAATAGGAACCTGGGGGCCAGGGATTTAGCTCAGTGGTTCTATCACCTGCCTCGTAAGTGCAAGGTCCCGAGTTTGATCCCTGGTACTCCCCGCAAAATAGGGACTTGTTATGGACTATGTGTATACACCAACCCGTACAGTGTAAAGAGCACTTTTCATTGTTTAAAGCAAAGTTTTAT